AGCGTTGCCGCTGGCACTTACAATGCAGCATGTGGTTACCAAAGTTCCTCTCTCACCACTTGTGACTTTTCCAATGCATTTTCTGCCTAATGGTGCTATTACTTTTGAGGCTTTTGCACTGTTGTCGTTGATGTTTCATCCAGATTAAATATACGGGTACCATTTGCAAAAGCCGAGTTTCTCTTGATCAGATCTTCTAAATTATTGTAAAAATTATTGACGTTGTTTCGGTTGAAGGCTGTAGCTCTTGCTAGGCTACAAGGTTCTGGTCTCCTGGAAGAAAACCTGTTCCTACGTTTGAACAAAGTTAACCAGTCCTTACCCGCCATTTCATTGTCTGTCCAAGATTTAGGCATCTTTATATTATTTAGCTTAGCACATTGATGACGACATTCTCTTGCAGTTAATCCGTAAAACAGAAGAGCGCAATGCGAAAAATATTCCTTCAACTTCTCTTCTTGGGATGCGGTAAAGATCTGGTTCACAGAATAATTCGGCTCGAATCGCTCCTCATCGAGATTTTCGGAACCAGCAGTTTTCCAATAATACCTCTTCAGGGTAGTAAATGGCACACCACAACTCGTAGCTGCTTTTCTGATAGACATACCCTGCCTTATTAATAGTACCCCAGCTTTAACGTCTGCAGCGGAGCTGTTGCCAATTTTTCTCATTGCCCGTTTCTTGCGAGGCATTCTGAAACAAATATTCAAGTAAGCGGTACACAATGGTTCACTAATAGTACACAGTGGCTCGTGAACCACTGTGTACTTCCACGTGCTGAGCCACTGTCGACCGTGACGCCATTTTGAAATATATGTCTTCTGTGCCATATTCACGTTGCACTGGCTGTTCTAAGCAAAGTTAAAATTATCTTGCTTCTACTTACTTTACTACAAAATATAAATAAATAATAAACTACAGCAATTAAGCTAGAATTTTAAAGTCAAACTTACCTGGAAATGTAATTTTGGGTACCTGAAAACCAACACAAAGGCGAGACTTGTGCTATCAGTGCTTTAGTTGCTGACCGACTGGTTCATGCGCATTTGTGTCGTAAACACTTGATGTAGATGACTGCGACAGATAGATAGTCTCTCTCGTTTTGGAGATATTGAATGGAGCCACTGTACCCGACTGAGCCACTGTTCCCGACAATACCCTACAGAAAAAGTGCTACTTTCTGTTCGCAGATGCGTGTTGAAAGTGAGTACTTTCCGCACGCTGGTAGAAAAATGTATTTATTATAGTAGTAGTAGTAATAGTATTTAGTGTTCATGGACTTCATTTATCTTTGTCAACCTAGAATCCTGTTGACGCTTAAAATTTGCAAGGTTACACGGTTTTGAGTACAATATTTTTTGGGATTTAGCCACCCGTCCCACCCGAGAAAACTTGTTACCCTTCAAAAAGTTCTGAGTTCTGCTACGCCTTCACAAAATGTTTCCTCTTGCCGATGGCCGCCCCCTGTGTAAAGGGGATAATTACCCCCCCCCCCCATACGACTCGAGCAGTCTTTGAAGAGGTGGTATAAAGTAAACGTCTCATAAAAAATCTGGAACTTTAAGAAGGATAGGGGCAACACTACCAACCCGCTCAGTGCCCGACAAGCGACCATTCTCCCACCAACAGCAACGGTGTGTGCTTCTTCCTGTTGGAACAGGTATAGTCTAGTCTTTTATGGTCTAATCTAGTGTCTAAATTCTGTACCAGTCCGGAGTTTGCAACAAAATTTGGCTGAGAAGTGAACAAGCTGAGTTTTGTTGATCTGGTTGGTATTATTCTATGTTCTATTGATTTTTTATTTTCCACGCATAAGCCAGAAAATTAATTTTGTTTTTTTTTTTAATTTTTATGCTATAAAAGAATCGTGTCTAAGAGCCGTTTTACACACAAGAGAATTACTCCGAAAATTATGGTCATAATTATGCCGAAAATGTTTGCTGTCGTATTATACGTAAACAAATTCTTGTGAAAATTTTCATGGTAAAAATATAAAACCCGTTCTATAGAATATGCGCGAGAATCGGCGCAGAGGATTATTTCCGTGCATGTCAGTATCAAATGTCAACG